GGGGGGGGGTTCTGGTGTTTCTGGTTCATCTCGGGTTTTTGTTTTTGTTCTGGTCAGCATAAATACGTGTAGCTCTACAACTTTTCTGTATACTGTTTTTGATTCACTTATTAACAGCTTCGCTAGACTTCAAATACGACATCTAATTCCAGTTCTCTTTCTCTCTTTTTATCTATCTATCTATCTATCTATCTATCTATCTATCTATCTATCTATCTATTAGATAGTCTGTGCCTGAACAAGAGGGAGAATGAGGTCTATAGAGACGCATCAAAACGCGGAAATGAGAGAGATGGCGAAACAGAGAGAGAGAGAGAGGAGAGAGAGAGGAGAGAGAGAGAGGGGGGGGAGAGAGCGCGCAATAGAAGGTGAGAGCGTGAAAGAGAGCAAGAGAGAATGAGAGAGAGAATACGATAGAGAGAGTAAACAAGGTAGAGAGAGAGAGAGGCAGAGAGAGACAGACAGACACAGAGAGAGAGCAGGAGAGAGAGAGAGAGAGGGGGGGGAGGAGAGAGAGAGAAAGGAGAGAGAGAAGGGCAAAGTGAGGGAAAGAGATTGCGAACCAAAGTCCGTCTGGATGAGCTATTGACCCTTCGTTGATTTCATGGTTATTCATGACTTTCGGGTACTCCCCGCTCCAAGTGAGAATCTGTGCCCTCCTCTAATAGGATTAGATTCCCATTTGGCGCAGACCATCTAAGGGCGGCTTGGCTAAGGAGGGGTGGGGGAGAGGAGGATGTGGCTAACTATGGCATCAGCTCTCTGCCGGTGTGTACTTTTCCTGTTCCTTCCCACAGTCACTGCCACTTTCTATTTCGAAATCCACAGTCAAGAAGTCGCGCCCACCTAACCTACCCCCCCCCCTCCAATAAAAGTCTAGGTTCTCACTACTGCTGTCGTTTCTCTGTTTGCTGACCACTCGATGCTGTATGTGGTCTTGCTGATTCGCTGTAATCTACACCTCAACAACTCTATCTTTTTAAAGAGAAAGACAGAGAGAGAGAGAGAGAGAG